AATTTAAAGCTAACAAAAATAGAAGACACTGAAGCAATTTCTATGTCGATTCAAGCTAGGGCAAGCATTTCACTATATAAAAGGGTTTAAGTTCATACTCAAAACAACTTTTGACAACTAAAATACTTACACAACCTACATCTCTTACAAGATTTTCTGAGGTTTTCAAAGGATTCAAGGCTCCGTTGATTTATTTGCGTTTATACTCAGATTTGAGCCTTTTGTGGCTTGGTTTTTGAGGCTTGAATAGCTCAGCCAATTTTCACATTGGTATTGATTTCCAGTTGATTTTCATCAATTAAATGTGATGCGATCTTCTTTTGCAGTACAGTTTTCACCAAGATTCTAGTTCCCGGAAGTTATTTTTCTCGTTATTTTTATTCTTCTATTTGTTAGGGTTTTTACAACTAATAGTAGCATACTTGCAATTAAAGCAATCTCTTGGCCTAATTACAAGCAGATTTGGAGTAAACAAAATCAAACTAAACCAAACTAATTTAAGACGTTGTAGTTCGGTCGGTGTGGGCCTAAGTCCAATTCTTTTTTCTTTTACATTTTCTCAACCTTTTTAGCTCAATTAAAAACAAAAATAATTCAAAATATGCCACATAGCATATCAAATAATCCTAAAATTGAACATGTTATAAAACTTATAAGTTTAATAATATAGTTGCAATTCAAATATTAATAACTTCAAAGTTCGATCAAACTTCAAACTCAACATCCTTTACAAGTAGATGGCCCTATTCGATTTAATTTGGTTTGCTAAAGCTCAAAGTTGAACCAAACCATTACCGTCTAGTTGGATTTTTAAATCGTTTGACCATTTTCTTGTCAAAACCAAACAAAACCATCCATTAGGGTTTGGATTGGCCGGTTTAGTATGTTCGTTGAATTGATGCCCACCCTTATGCATTACTATATGTATAAAAATAAGCGCTGGGCTCTAACGAGGACTTCTAAATGAGCACACTATGTGAGGATCCATTTCAGCCATCCGATCTGATCGCAACGGCTGTAGAGAAAAAGCAAGCTTACTATGTAAATGGGTAGGCTGCACTTCCCCTTTAGCTTACAAGTCCGAGCACGCCTTTTCCAATGAAGCCTCTTTCTTCTTCCTTCCTTTCTTCAATTAATTTTTTAAGTTCACCGAGAAACCCGAAAATCTTACAACCCAGCTACCACCCAAAATCTCTTAACAACATTTCTCAAGTTCTCCCTAATGATCGTTGCCTCTGATATCAACACATAAAGGGACAACGGAGTTTGCCTATGATATCCAAGAATCATGAACGATTTGTCCAAAATTAATGCTCCCGACATCAGCCCCGTAATCGACCTCTAATATCAAAGAATCATCAGCATCCCCAGAAAAAAAAAAGATTATATTCATGTAAGTTTATATATTGTAATTGAGAATCCTTAAGAAACCGATTCCATTGGTTGAAATTAGCAGAGGATTTCATTTCTTTAGGGGTTCTGGGTGTGTTTATAATAGTGTGAGTAGGGTATGATGTCTGTGTCTTCGTTTGTAATAGTCTGAGTTGGATGGATATGGGTATGATGTTTATATCTTGATGTGTTCATAATAGTCTGAGTGGTATGGATATGGTGGATATGGATATCATTTATGTATCTTAATGATAATAGTCTGAATAGTATGGATATGGGTATGTTGTCTGTATCTTGATGTGTTGAAAATAGTTTGAGTAATGTGGATATGGGTATGACATGCAGGGACGGATCCACAGAGGAGCAAGGGTGGTCAAGTGACCCCTGCAACTCTGGAATTTGCCATTAGAGGGGAGAAAATTGACTCCTGCAAACTGCTCGACGAAAGTCCCCAAAGAGCAGCGCTCTTATCGACCTTGTAATCTGATGCTCGTTGGGCAGCTAAGAAGAGACGCCTCATAGATAAAGTCCACAAAATGTAATGTCAAATTTCACCTTCACTGCCTTGGTTCTTTTGCTTTCAGTTTCATCAATTCTTAATTATTTTTCAATGTAGTTTGATGGCTATCTGTGATTTGCTCACTATTCTGAGATTTCAGTTTAGCTTAATGAGTACCCATTGGTTGGTCTGTAGGGAAAAATTTTAAAAAACGGCTTCTTATTTTAACTTTGAAGAAGTATGGATATTTGACAAAAGTGAAGATAACTGCTTGGTGGGACTGATCTTTGATGCCTCATTTTGTATTTGGTTGATTAAATATTGATGGAAATATAAATTTAAGATCTTGAAGTATGGGGCTTGGGGGAAATTAAGGCATTCCCAGCTATTTGGTTTGTCTTGGCTGAAATAGATTTCTTAAGAAAACGAAACAACAGAGAGGCCCAATTAGTTTTTTTATATGAATTTTCGGTTAGCTTTTCTCCATCAATGGAGTGATAGCTTGCTTGTCTGTTGTGATGCGTTTGCTATATGTTTTGATGCATTTGATATCTGCTATAATGCATTTGGTATCTCTTTTGATGCATTTGGTATCTGTTACGATGCATTTGGTATCTGTTTTGATGCATGTTGTATCTGTTATGATGCATTTGGTATATGATATGATGCATTTAATGTATGTTACGTTGTTTTTGGTATCTGTTATGATGCATGATTACCTATCTATTATGAAGCATTGGCTATCTGTTATGATTCAATGGACGATAATAATTATGGATGCTCAGTTGGTTCATTTACTATCTATTATGATGCATAACTGGTATGTCCCTATTTAGAAATATGCTGCAATAAATTTGACTGATATGCAGGTTGATAGGAGAAAGGACGACATGAAGCATAATAAGGGTCTGGTGACAATGGTGAACGGCGAATCCCTAAGTTTGGTAAACCTTGGTCGTCCGTGAAGAATGTGTTTCTGTCTTTTTTCAATGCTTATAAGCATTTTGTTTGTAAAGTGCTCAATGGGAAAGGGGTAAAGAAACCCAAACCACTACTTCACCCTCCTTTCAGATACATTGGGAAGCCAGTCATGCTAATTTTAACTGTTTATAAACCCAAAATATTTTCTTCAGTTTCTCAAGTTTAAAAAAAAAAAAACAGTTTGAAGCATCACGCACCTCTGTGTTCACAGTGAATTTCAAAACAATGGCTAATATATTCACGTTCACCGTGATCAAAACAGTTTTGCATGTGTGTTCACACGGTTGGCAATACCACACGAGTTCAAAACCTTCTACCTGAACAATTCTTACCAAGAAAATTTAAAACTAAGGCAGTTAAACAATTCCTTCACCCACAATCACACAGCTATATACTGCAACATCCCTGCAACAAGTCTATAGCAAGCTTTAACCGGAATAAATGCATGGCCGCATCAAAATTTTAAGTTAGGGATGAGCCCTTAATTGTACACATGGAAAATTGTAAGCAACTTTTTGGACTTGGCATACGAAGTATTCGGGTAACAAATAGGTAGGAATTTTTCCCTTTTATTTCCATTTTCTAACGATTTTACAACAAAATATTATTAAACTATAACAAATGAGACACGTGTCAGTGCATGAAAACTGTATCCTTCTATCCACCTCCACGGCTCAGCATGGGACGCCGCCACCTCGCATCTCCTTCAATTGTTTATTTGTTTACACTTAAAAATTTATTTCAAAATCAATAATAATTCAAACAAATCCCAAAAAATTTGCCGGCCTCGGTACGACATTTCCTACGATCACGTACTTCAAATTTCACATTTCCATTTAACTTTTGATGCGAAATTTATGTGATCAAACAAACAACATTCTAGGGTTTACAAAGTCTACTACTATATTCATTTGCATCATTCACATTTAGGATGAGCCCCTAATTCTAATTTTTACACTTTAAAATTTATTACCCTTTAGGGTCAATAATAATTTATAAAGTGTTAGGGTTTAGGGTTTACAAGGTGGTTGGAAAAAAAAAAAATTCCTACACTAACTTTCTTTCCCGCTCATGCAAGGTTAGGAACGGCATTTGACCACCTACTTTTCACAATCAAAACTCTATTTCGAACGATCAAAATATGCTCACATAATCCATATAGTGAATGACATTAAAGATATGCTGCTATTGTTATTAGTTGTATAATTTCTCAAATTTGCCATATGTTATGGCTTGTGTATTTTTCTAATTGGTAATTTATTTATTGTGAATTTTAGAAGT